AAGCATAGATGAACAGAAATGGGTTAATTTAAGATGAAAGAGCTAGCTAGCAAGAATACCATAGGCCATACAGTTGGTAATTAATATAAGCCTCTGAATGATTGTTTTATACTCGGCTGTGGGACCTCAGGGCCAAGCAGGACACAGGAAAACTTCCAGCTACACAACACCCTTATATATGAAGACATTAAGAGAGAACTAATAAGAGGCTGAAGAATCTCCTTTGTGTACGGATGTTCAGGCATCCACACTGATCCAAAGCTACTCAAGTATTACTATTACTCGTGGCTCAGAGTGTTTTCTGAGGTTTAGAATACCTGGGGTTCTAATCCTGAGTCATAAGATGTGAATAATTATATTGTAGCCATCCATGTCATATATGCTGGACTCCAGGTCTAATTTCTCTAACACATGACATATGGACTTTTCCAACTATGTTCTGTGCTCATGAAAAGAAGCACTCCAGATGCAAACCCCGAAGTCAAATGCTTACGTCCAATTGCTAACTTCATTGTTTACTAGCTCTGTGATGCGAAAGGACTTGACTCACCTCTCTGTGCCCCGATGTCAATATAGAGGTGAGCAGTCACCGTACCTACCTTGGAGAGTTCTGCCAAGAATCAAATGGGCTGATGTGCATTCATGATGCATTGCTTTAATAAGTTCTGCCCAAAGTGCTTGCTCAGAGCCTGGTCCCCGGTGTAGGGGTGCTGAATGATGGTTGAACTTTAGGAGATGCAGTCTGGTGGGAGGTTAATTCGGTCTCTAAGAGAAATAATCTTTTTCCTCACAGGAGCCCATGAGAGCAAACAAATTGCTTAAACAAACCCAGAATCTTTGGAGTACTGTTCTGTGTGCACAACTTCACATACACCCTACTGACATCACAGTGCCATTTAACACAAACCCTCCAAAGCTGAACAGATACCAGTGCTATGCTCTCACACTGAAAAAAAAAAAAAAAAAAAAAAGCTGAATGGATCTATTTTCCTTTATAAAGTAACTAGCTTTAGATTTTTTCCATAACACTAAATAGATTAAGGCAAAGGGTTTGTAATAGAGTCTATCATATGACATGCACTAGCCAATTAGAAACAAAAAGATTAAGTGCCTACTAGAATTATTTTGTGGTTGTTTGAAGGAAAATGGCCCCCAAAGAGAGGGGCACTGTTAGGAGGTGTGGCCTTGTCGGAGGAAGTGTGTCACTGTGAGGACAAACTTTGAGGTCTCTCTTGCTCAAGCCTCCTTCATGACTTTCAGTTGACTTCCTGTTGCCTGCAAGATGTAGGACTCTCAGCTCCAGCACCACATCTGCCTGAACACCGCCATGCTCCCTGTGGTGATGATAATGGACTGAACCTCTGAAACTGTAAGCATATCACCCCAATTAAATGTTTTCCTTTATAAGGGTTACCGTGGTCATAGTGTCTCTTCACAGCAATAAAAATCCAAACTAAGACATATTTTATTTTAAATTTTGAGATGATCCCATGTAGGCTGCTGCACTGAACTTGCTACATAGCCAAAGATGACCTTGAATTTCTGATCCATCCTCCTGCCTCCACCTCCTGTGTGCTGTGTTTACAGATGTGTGCTACCTCACCCAGTTCACATAACACAAACCCAGGGCTGGATGCTGGCCAGGCCAGCACTCCACTAGGTATATAGCCAGCCATGAAATCATCCTTCACGATCATCTACTTAATTCATTCCTGCTCATCTATGTTTTCTTTTATTGGCTCTGAACAATGGCTGCTAGGCACCGGGCTTTGAAGTCAGGAACTGACTCAGAGCTGAGTCCATGCTCTACCACTTCAGTGGCAGTACTATGCTGGAAAGTAACTTAATCTCTACATTTCCTCAGATAAAAAGAGGACAAATGTGGTGTCTACACTTCATGGAACTGTGAGAACTCAATGAAATGAAAGTCACCCACTCTGATTGCTGCCCCTGCAGCATTTGCTCAGTGGGTCTATGTCAATGATCACTGTTTTGTTTGCTTGGATGGTTAGTTGGTTGGTTGGCTGGCTCAACTCCTTAGTACTTTAGAGGGCAAAACCTGAACTGTATTGTTCTCCTCTGAAGTCTTAGCATTCTTCTAGCACCTAACTTTAGGTAAATACCTCTCTCCATAGCTGTAGGTGTTGTGATTTACAAACTGTTATAGTGCGAATACAAAACGTCACCCATGTTCACGTGTTGGACATTTGGTCCCCAGCATTGTGCTTTGTGTGAATACATATGTCTCTGTCTCTGCTCCCCTCTCAATTAATTTCCCCCATCTTTCCCTAATGGATGCTTCTTTTTAACCAAACATACTTTCAAAGAATACTACCTCACCACCTCTTGATGAAGTGTATTCTTATGAAAACATTAAAACTGTCTTTATCTACACTCCACAGCATATTTTTTATTACTGTATGTGTACATATGTGTACAAGATGTGGGGGGTGGGGCACATGCATGTGCCATGGCTTACAAGTGGATGTCAGATGAGAACATTTTGGAGTCAGAACCCGTGGGATCTAGGGACGAAATCAGGTCATCGGGCTCCCACTGCACTCACTGGGCCACCTCAAGTGGCCAATAAAACATCAATGCATATGAGTTATTATTCCTACGCCACCCTCTTCCTTTTTGCTTTGTAGTTTCATCCTCAGGTTACTTATTTCCTAACTTTATCTGAACTCATTTATCCCTCTCTACTGACAAATTTAATAAGGCCTTAGCCAAGAACAGTGCAGATCAGGAAACCAAATGCTCCTCTATACCAGGCAGCTCGTAATTGCCATATCTAAGTTCTAAGCATCAAACAGAGATATAAAAATACCAATATCAAAATCCAGCACTTGGGAAGCAATGGCAGACAGAACTCTGTGTGGTCAAGATCAGTCTGGTCTACATAGCAAATCCCAGACCAGCCAGTTACACAGTGAGACCCTGTATTTAATAATAATAACAACAACAACAACAATAATAACAATATCAGTTCCTGCTCTATAGAAAACCAAAATTCCTAAATTTATTTTAAATGTTCCCATTTATATATTAAAAATATTTCAGCTGGCTGGGCATGCCTTTAATCCCAACACTTGGGAAGCAGAGACAGATGGATCTCTGTGAGTTTGAGGCCAGCCTGGTCTACAAAGCAAGTTCCAGGACAACCAGGGCTGTTACACAGAGAAAACCTGTCTCAAAAAATCAATCTCACACACACACACACACACACACACACACACACACACACACACAATTTCAGCTGAACTATTATCTTTAAAACAGGAAGAACCACATATATTGTACTTATTGTTATGTAGAGTTTAATTTATATGAAATCAAGAGACATATAGTCAAGCCAATGGGCCACATCCTGTCACAACGAAGATTGGTTCTTCGCGAGGCCTGGTGGCACACGTCTTTAATCCCCACACTTGGAAGGCTGAGACAGACAGGCAAATCTCCATGACTCTAGTGCCAGTCTGGTCTTCACGGCAAGTTCCAGCCTAGCCAGGTCTACACTGTGAGACCCTGCTTCAAAACAGACATACAAACAAGAAAGGTGGGGACCAAAAAGGTGACTGAGCAGGTAAAGGCGCCTGCCACCAAACCTAATGACCTGAGCTCACGCCACGGGACAGACATGGTGGGAAGAGAGAACCCCCAGGAGCTGTCTCTGAATTCTACACATACACCACGGCAGTGTGCACTCAGTGTGTGCCAGGCCCTCACTTTGGTTTCTAGCAACAAGAGGAGGAGGAGAAAGAAGAGGAAAGGAGCGACAGAAACCATTTGTGACTTAAAACCTCTAAAATTCACCATCTAGCTCTTTTTAGAAAAGTTTGCTGTTCCTGATACTTAAATATTTATTTAAAGGAAACTTAAGACTGGCTAGGGAATGTGGTTCAGTGCTAAAGTATTTGCCCCGTGGGGCTGGAGAGGTGGCTCAGTGGTTAAAAGCATTGGTTGCTCATATAGAGGACCCGAATTCAATTCAATTCCCAGCACACATAGCGGCCGGCAACCATTTGTAACTCTGGTTCCCTGGGGAGCCAACACCCTCTTCTGACTTCCACGGACTCATGGTCCACATACATATATGCAAGCAAGATATTCATACACATAAAATAAATAGATCTTTAAAAAATAAAAAAGTAGTCAGGCGGTGGTGGCGCACGCCTTTAATCTCAGCACTCGGGAGGCAGAGCCAGGCGGATCTCTGTGAGTTCGAGGCCAGCCTGGGCTACAGAGTGAGTTCCAGGAAAGGTGCAAAGCTACACAGAGAAACCCTGTCTCGAAAAACCAAAAACAAACAAACAAAAACAAAGTATTTGCCCCATATGTGAAAGGCTCTCAATTTGATAAATGTGCATTCTATACACACACACACACACACACACACACACACACACACACACAATACAGGGACAGAAGAGAGCTGCCACTGTAGGGGTTTGTTGTAAACAGATTTACCACAAAAATAACTGAAGATCACTGCAAACAGGAAAGCCAGCATAATACATATGCATATCTTTAAGCTGTTCCTTGGCTTGCATTTTCATTAAGCTCTAAGATAATCTAAATATCTTTCATTAACATATTTTATAGGCTGTAATATACATATACATGCATATATTTATCTTATATGTATATCTTGAGTCACAGGTGTTTCGGGAACTAAATTTAAACCCCAGCAGCCCACTCCCTCCTTAACAACCCTAGTTAATATAAATGTGAGCCGTTAGCAATGTCACCACGGTAAGTAAGGTGTCAAGTCACAGGTGTGTTCCTTCACACAGCAGGGAGCAGCACTTCACCTGTCTCTTCCCATCTACTAGACACTTCTTTAAAATTCAGTCTTGTACAATTTCCCTGCAAACTCTGAAACAGTACTCTCTCGACACTAAAGGATGCTTAACAGCCAAAACCGGGAAGTCAGTGGGCAGGGCCAAGGGGATGCGTGAGAGCATCTGCAGCTGGCCATCGGGAGCTGACATGTGTACCTGAAAATGCTGCTCCATCACCTGGATTTTCCCCTGGTCTGGGCACTTCTTCAGAGCCCGGTCTGCATAATGGAACAGGATCTCTACCATCTATAGGAAAAACAGCTTTGTGTCAGAATCAAAGGGAATGGCTACATTTGTTCAACATTTAACATGCATGGTTAATACTGAATTATGCTTCATCATTGTATTAAAAACACAGTTGGGCCGGGCGGTGGTGGCGCACGCCTTTAATCCCAGCACTCGGGAGGCAGAGCCAGGCGGATCTCTGTGAGTTCGAGGCCAGCCTGGTCTCCAAAGCGAGTTCCAGGAAAGGCGCAAAGCTACACAGAGAAACCCTGTCTCGAAAAACCAAAAAAAAAAAAAACACAGTTGGGATTTCAGTGGCTTTATTCCCTAATTCTCTGAGATGAAGAGCTAGTATTAATTTGCTAATCTTTCCTAAGAAATGTCTGTATGTTCCAGACCTCAGTGGTATAAAATGAAATGAAAACCTGGAGTTAAGTGCCTCAGGAATCCTCCCCGCAGAGGATGGACAAACCACTCATGACTCTAGATTCCCAAGGATCCTTCTCCTCTGTGCTCTCTTGACTGTTTCACTGATTTACCATCTTCATGGGGGAGGGCAGTGGTAAGACTTCACACAGCACTGCAGACCATACCTGGGACTTATAGCCTGACCCACCTTCGAGTACAGCCATGTGCCTGATCACCCCCAAAGACACTTGCAAACACAAAAAGCAAATCTGTATTGCATACCCGATCCGCGACAACAGCCTTCCTCTTACTGACATCCCCCGATAGCCCTTTAGAGAAACAAGTCCAACAGGAAACAAAAGTTAGTGCTCACTCCAGAAGGTAACCTGGGTTCTGGTCTCCCATTCACAACCCACGCTAACAACACATTCAATTACAACAATTACAAATGCTGCATAATGGGGATATCTCACACCCACTAGACTAACAGCTTATCAGTGTGCTTTCCATTTGTTCTCGTAGTAAATTTCCCTTATGGAAAGATTCTTCACAACGACACTTCCAACTCCACAGCATCTATTGACTTACCCACGACTGCCTTTGCCTTTCCTTCATGGAAAGACCACGCAAGAGCCAAGGCTTCTGTGAGACAATCCTGTTTCAGGAGATGATCCATTCTCTAAAATGAGTAAAGGAGACATTCCAGTCCTTCTATCTGACCAACCAATGAAAGGAATTTCAATTCTACCTTTACAGAATCGCTGCTTGGGAGCGAACGGTACTTCAACAGCGGTGCACATTTCGGCCTAGGACTTTGACTAAGCAAGCACTTCCTAAAGCACTGGGCGCTTCCTAAAGCACTGGGCACTGTGGCCTGTGGGCCTGTATGACGGATGGCAGGAGAGCCTGCACACAGAGAGGGAACAACGAGACTATCGTAGGAGAGATGGCTGGCTGCTTAGCACAGTAGGCAGCTGTCCCCTTCTTAACAACAAGCCCCAAGCTCACTAGAGACAGCAACACACCAGCTAAAGCAATTTCAAGGAGTCCCTGGTATCTTTTGGGGGCAATGCACCTGAACCCTGGTCAACAAGTGGAAGAGCATTTTTTCTGGTATCTCTACATACATACTATCTTTAAAAGCTGCGGCTGGCCTTTTTTCTCTTTTCCCCCTTCACAGACCCTCGACATAACCATTGGAGCCTCTACTAACTATCCTGGATTATAAAGTGACCTTGAGCCTAGAATCAAACAGAAGGATGGTCAAGTGGGATAGCATCTTCCAGTGATGGAGCTCCCATTCTAGCTACAGTCTGCCTGTGTCTAGATTATTTCAAATGGGAGTAAGCTCTTGATGAAGCCACTGTTTATCTTGAATAGACTCAAATACAATTCTGTTTTTACACTCCTTTAATAACTTAAAACAATAGAGTATCTATCACTTGTAAATGAGGCTTTACTACACAAACAAAGCTATCCCTTTCTAACTTTCATTGATTAATAAAGCATTCTTCTCCATGCTATGTTCTCTGATAGCAGAGCAGTTACCAAATTCTGATATAATGAGTTTTAGCATATCAAGTGCCTAACAGTTAAAATGGCTTCTATGGATTCTTCTGACATTAAAAAGTCCAAATTATCATCTGCAAAGTCAACAAAAACATGAAGCTGCTGCCACTTCAGTTTCCACGCAGATCACTGTGAACTCACCTCCCTCCAGCTCCTTAGCATCATCACGTAAACAGACTAGAAAACAGGAGGAAATGAAGATGACCGTTAGCAGAGTCGCTCAGAGACACATTTGCTCCAGCCACACATCTCGTTTCAGATCTCTAAGTACAACACACTTCACATCTCCGATGGAAATGTACCCTGACTGGCGGGTCCTCAGTACTCACAAGGAGAAGTGAAGAAACACTCGCTCAAGGGAAACAGACAATCTAGGCTCACTCCTTGCACCAACTTGGCAATATTCTGGTTGAATTCTAACAATGAAGCAAACTGTCCATTTTATGTTGAAAAATAAACTGCTCTAATGCCAATTATTCTAAGTCAAACACCTCAATGCACTTCAATATATCGTAAGTTGATCTACGTTAAAGAGCACTTTAGGTATACAACATACACACATAATTAGGTCCTTCCTGCCTGTGATGTCTAGTATCAACTGTCAACATGTCTACAGGAGATTCTCCTGATTACATTAACTGATGTGGGAAGGCCCATCTTGACTGTACGTGGGGTCTTTGCCCAGGGGATTCTGAAAAGGAACTGGACAGCAGTGGGCATCCACTATTCACTCACTCTGACTGTGCACACAACATGACCAGCTGCTCGAAGCTCCAGCTGCCCTGACCTCCCTGCCATGATGGGTACCATGAACTGGGAGCTACAATCAGCCCTGCTCCCTGAGTTCCTTTGGTCATCACAGCAGCAGGGAAAGAACTAGACACCACCTTGGAATTTGCTGAGAAAGCTGATCTTAAGCATCCCCATCCCCCACACGAATGGTAACTAAACAAGGTGATGGGTTCTTAATTAACTTATTATGATAGTCACTTTGCAATGTGTATGTTGATCAAAGCAAGACATAAAAATTCCAATTAAAAAAAGAAACTAGATATTTGACATTAAAACAATGTTAAGGAAGGCTATAACAACGTATCTCTGAATCAAGAAAATAAGTGTCCTATTAGCACTAAACAAAAGTCAAATTAGATCTTAGTGAAAAAGAAAATGTTAAGTACCCAAAAGTCTTTGGCTATATAACTATTGTAAGATTTGGATCGATGCTGGTCAGAATTCACTTTGCAATGCACTGTTTCCTATCAGCCACCTCCTTCCTCAGCTATCCTGATGACACAGAGCGGAGTGAGAAGAGCTTACCTTTGTCCCCAGATAGAAGATCTGACCACCATAGCTACTGATGGACTGATAGCAAGCCTTCTCTCCAACCAAAGCCTGCCAAATACACAAACAAGGCAAAAATCACACATGCTACAAGTTCCATTAAGAATGCCAATCACGGGCTGGAGAGATGGCTCAGTGGTTAAGAGCACTGACTCCTCTTCCAGAGGTTCCCAGGTTCAATTCTTAGCACCTACATGGCAGTTCACAACTGTCTGTAATTCCAGTTCCAGGGGACCTAACACTCATGGCAAAACACCAATAGACATAAAATAAAAATAAATTAATTAAAAAAAAAGAATGTCAATCACAGGGCCTGTGAGAGGCTAGCGGGTTGACACTCCTGTACAAGCTGAGGACGAGTTACAGCCCCAGCACCATGAAGGGGTAGAGGAAGACACCCGACCCCACAGAGTTGTCCTCTGATCTCCACACATACACTGTGGTGCGCGCACACACAAATAATAAATAAATAAAAAAACTGTAAAAGAATGCTGAATGCAGAAACATTTTAGGTCAATACAGTTTTAACCTATCAGCAAATAAGAAAAAACTCTGTTGCTTGATTGCCAGTGGAGTGACTGGAAAGACTAAGTTCCAGAAGTCATTCCCCACTTCCATAAACAGCCTTTTTCTTTCTCAGACAGTGTGCAAAGAGAAGGAAAGACGCTAACTGTCAGTGTAACTGCAAACCACCGCGACCTGCTACTTACCGGGTGACAGCTATACCTGTTTGGGGCATAATGACAGAGATCAGGAAGCAGTTAGGAATGCACTGATGGAGGAGGTGGCAACCGGCTCTCCTCGGAGACCTAGGCCTTCACTAGGCACAGGTGGTTGACTAGCTTTTCAGTACCAGGAGTGATCTCCCTCTCCTCGAGTGCGTCTTACGTCAAGTTAGACAGCTGCTGGTTGCCACCAAGATATGAATGCCACTACTGTACTTTTAGGGATACCTTGTCCTGCTGGTCACTGCTGCGGTTCAGGTGTCACAGCTGGGTCATTGAATGCTTTCCTCCTTTAGCAGCCTCGTTAGCACCTCAAGAACGAGGGGATCCCTCCCCATGACAGACAGCAGACTTCTGAGTCACTCACAGCGTTCTTAAACAGGGCAGTTTCTAGCTCCTTTAACACACACCTCACGATGCATAGCTGTGTCCCCCAGGGAGCAGCTGCTCATGTAGCTGGATGTGGCCTCACAGCACCACCTGACAGGAAGTGCTGGCAGTAGGATCTCCTAAGGCTTACAGACTAAAACTCTTGCAAAAGAGGCCAAGATGCGGGGTTAGGGATTTTGCTCAGTGGTAGAGCGCTTGCCTATCAAGTGCAAGACCTTGGGTTGGGTCCTCAGCTCCTGGGAGGGGTGAGGGTGGGGAGACAAAACTAAGAGGCCAAGATGCTTTTTGGCCAGTTTCTGCCTGGTGATCTTCATGACTGGCTTGCTCCGACCACGGCCACCAGACTGTGGTGTTGTCATTACTCTGCACACCTTAACATTGGCACCATAGGTTTCTCCAGGAAATCCCATCTTGCATCGTTTCTATCAAGTCCATTCATCTTTCATTCTGCTTCTCAACCCTGCCCTCAATCCCTTCCTTCCAGCAGCTCTGCCTTCATCCCAAGCGCTCTCGTGTTCACCACTGGATCTCTGACCCCACGTCTTCCCTCTACTCTATGAACACAAGGATTAGGATTATACTAACGTACACACAACACGGAGACTTGCACATCCGTGTCTGGTGTCACAGTACTGACAACAGCCAGGAAATGGAACCTGTCCAGGTGTCCTTCAACAGATGAGTGGATAAAGAATGGTCCATAGACATAAGGGAATTTTATGTAACCATAAAGAAAAATGAAATCATGGCATTTGCAGGAAAATGGGTGCAAACAGAAATCATTATGTTAAGTCAGATAAGCCAGACTCAATGTGATCAGAACTACATGGTTTCTCTCATATGCAGAACCTAAATTTAAAGTGTGTGTGTGTGTGTGTGTGTGTGTGTGTGTGTGTGTGTGTGTGTGTGTATTTATGTGTGCTCCTAAGTCACAAAACTACAAAGAGGATCATGAGAGGACAGGAAGAGATCTTAAGGGAGGTGGGAAATGAGGGTAAAAGATGACATGTACTACGGAAACAGAAGGAACAGCTGGAGAGGGGGGAGTGGGGGAGGAGTGGAAAGAGAATGGGGATGAAGTGTAACAATGTCCATGGATGAGACACCGTGATGAAACCATTACATGTGAACTTTAGAAAAATTAATACGAAACCAAAGAACAGGGCAAAACCTGCTGCACCCTTGTCTGCTCATCCCAACTTCTGCATCAGGGCTCAGCCGGTCTTGACTGGTTCTCCCTGTCCAGTCTAAGCTTTGTACTTTGGTGGTGCACAGGAATTTCCACATTGATATTCTTGTGTTTTACTTGCTCGGCTCCTGCCCTCTGGGGTGTGCTTGCTAGCTTGTATTCTAGGGACTGGACCCAGGGCCTCCGCTGGAGAAGCACTGTGCCACTGAGTCGTACCTCCAACCCCAGTCTGATGCCGTCTCACCTGCTTTTAAGATTTTTCAGTGTTTACCAGCCCAGCATGTTCTCTGTTTCAAGGGCAACTACTGAGGGGCAGTGCCCCTGAGTGCCCTGGCCAGCGCCTGGTCTGGCTGGTCTAAGCAAGCAGAAAGTACAGTCGGTGGGTGCCCTGGATACAATTCCCTTTCGGCCGCTAGCGGCTCTTCCCCTGTCCTTGGGCAGGCTCCTTACACACATGCTGAACAGCTGTCCAGCAGAAGACTCCAGGTGACTCTCCGGCACTGTCCGCAGACATGAACCACCTTGCTTTCCCTGTACCCTCAGCTCAGTGTCCACCAGGTTCTGTTCTTCTTCCCTAAGCCACAGCCAGGAAATCAGAGGGCCAGATGGTAAAGAATTAACAAGCTCATCTCATTTGTTTCCCGTTTGGTCTAAGATTTGTCATCCATCATTGCTGGGCCCAGAGTCTTGAGAACTGTCTGTTTTCTTCCCCTTTTTTTGGAGCTGAGGACTGAACCCAGGGCCTTGTGCTTGCTAGGCAAGCGCTCTACCACTGAGCTAAATTCCCAACCCAATCCCAGCACTCAGGAGGCAGAGCCAGGCGGATCTCTGTGAGTTCGAGGCCAGCCTGGGCTACCAAGTGAGTCCCAGGAAAGGCACAAAGCTACACAGAGAAACCCTGTCTCGAAAAACCAAAAAAAAAAAAAAAATCCCCAACCCCTTGTTCCTAATTAGTAGTAGTAGTGGTGGATTTGGTTTTTGTTTTTTTTGTTTTTGTGGGGTGGGGGGTCTTTTTTTTTTCAATATTTTAAGCAAGAAAGTAAATCTAATTCCCCATTCTCTGTCTTGGCTAAAAGTGCAAGTTTAAAATCTAACTTCTAAAATCTAACTTTTTAAGATTCATTTCATTTTGCCTGCATGAATGTATGTGTACTGTGTGCATGCCTACTGCCCAAAGAAGCCAGAAGAGGGCACTGGATCCTCTGGAACTGGAATTACGTTGTATTTGTGAGCTATCATATGGTGCTGGGACTCAGACCCAGGTCTCCTATAAGAGCAGGCAATGCTCTTAGCCACTGAGCCATCTCTCCAGCCCGATAGACATCCTACCGCAGGAAATGCCTGCATTTGAGACACTGGCTGTGGCTGGCTTAGAGTGCTTGCTGCATGCTGCATGCTGCATGGCCTGTTCTATACACTGTGTGGCTAGAACACCCTTCACGTACAGTGTGTGCCCTGAAGTTACAAACAGGAGAAAGACTGAAGCAAAACCCACAGACTGTGCTGACGACACCATTAAAGATGGTCATTAGTACTCTTGCTTATAAGACGCTTCCCACAGACCTATCAAAGCAGTCCTCTTATCCTAAAGATAAATGGCTTAGGAAACAGGTGAACACAAAATCACAGTGCTTACCTACACACTACTGACATAAATTGCTTAAGGCATTATCATAGCTGCCTTTCTACAGTATCATGAATACCAATATGAACTATATCCTCCTCCTCTATGCTCCTGTCTCAGTTCCTAAAGCATCTTTTTCCTTCCTCTCCAAGTCATCTTTGTCTTCTAATGTCCTAAGCTACCACACCTGGCCAGCCTCCTGACATATCCCCCAAATACTTACTTCTGTGGTGATATGTATAGTCTATGGCTCCCATAGACTCATGTGTTTGAATGCTTGGCCCATAGAGAGTGGCACCATTAGGAGGTGTGGCCTTGTTGGAGGAAGGGTGTCACTGTGGGAGCAGCTTGGAGGTCTCATCTGCTCAAGCTACACCCAATGTGGCTCACAGTCTCTCCCTGCTGCCTCTGCAGAACTCTCAGCTCCTTCTCCAGCACCATGTCTGCCTGCACACTGCCATGCTTCCCACCATGATGATAATGGACTAAACCTCTAAAACTGTAAGCCAGCCCCAATGAAATGTTTTCCTTTATAAACATTTATTGCCATGGTCATAGTGTCTCTTCACAGCAACAGAAACCCTAACTAAGACAGCTACCAAAGCCTTGAGGCTACCTGTCTCCAGCTATTCTTCCCTTAAATCTACTAGGCTTATTTATTGTCAACAGCTCAATTCCTTTACAAATTCTCTCTCACAAAAACTGTTTCATTTTTTTTCCTTAAGTATAAAAGTTAAAACGCCTTGGGGTTTTTTGTTTTTGGGGTTTTTTTTTTCTTTCAGATTTATTTTTATGTTAGGCCTGCATGTACGTGTGTGCACCATGTGCATGCAGTACCTGTGGTGGTCAGAAGAGGGTGTCAGATACCTCTGGAACTGGAATTACAGATCAGTTGTTAGGTGACAAATCAGAGTTGGGGAACTGAACCCAGGTCCTCTGAAAGTGCTCTTAACCCCGGATCAATCTCTCCAGCCTATTCCTTGGTATTAAGTAAGAGGAATTACTGCTTGGGGTCATAATCCTGAATCCTTACAAACGCATTCACACCCACTTCAACACACCAAGGAAGAAAAACTTTAGTACAAACAAACAAACAAGCACTCACCAGAGCCTGGCTAACGTTTCCTCCCGTGGCCAGTGACTTGAAGTGGCTGCTGTTATAGACCAGCTGGACTTCTGAGATCTCCATTGTCTCCAACTCCTCCTGCGTCTGCCGATCAATCACATGCAACTTCTCCACGCTGTCTAAAAGCACAACTGTGCGTGAGTTTATCCACTGCAATTCAAGCACAGAACAAAAGGAAAGTAAGGACCGGTCCAAACCTTTCAGGACGAAGAGGGCTCTGCCACTCAGCATGTGGCATCGAGGACCTTGTGCATGTAATAACTTCAACAGTGACAGAGTCACAGGAAGAGCAGCTCTGCAGTGGCCCAGGTAAAACAGTGCGAGGTGTCACAGTGTCCGAGGACGTTCTGCTGGTCTAAGGGAGGGCTAAGAACCAACACACTGCAGAATGTTGTGTTTTTACAAGACTATTTTGAAAGGCATATTGGCACAAATGACCTTAGTACAACAACAAATTTATTTCAACTTTTTATATTAGGGAAACAAAACAGCAACTTAAACCTCACAAACCGAGATGGTCAGAGGACAATTCTCGGCACTGAAATAATGCCTATTTTTAAAAAGACGAGCTGAGACATCCAGCCTCGTGGACTGAACAACTACTGGGTTCTTAGACGCTCTGGTGGTAGACAGCCATTGCTGGACTAGTTGGACCACAGCTTTTAACCCATTCTAACAAATCCCCTTTAAATATATATTCATTCTATCAGTTCGGTTCCTCTAGAGCAGTAGCTCTCAACCTTCCTAACGCTGCGACTTTTCAATACAGTTCCTCCTGTTGTGGTGACTCCCAATCATAAAATTATTTTGTTGCTACTTCATAACTATAACTTTGCTACTGTTATGAATCATAATGTAAACATCTGCTATGAAGATTATCTGATATGTAACCCCCAAAGGAGTCGTGACCCACAAGTTGAGAATCACGCTCTAGAGAACCCTGACTAATTCACAGCAGTTTTACTGCATCTGAATTTTAATTACAATTCATTACATGATGTCAAGGGTGGAGTTTTCCAGTTGTGCTACCATGCTAGTCCTCAAAAAGTTTCAGATCCTGGAGCACTTCAGCTTTTGTATTTTCAGAAGAGGGATGTGTGGTGGTTTGAATGAGAATGGTCCCCACAGGCTCCTATATTTGAATGCTTGGTCCCCAATTGGTGGGACTATTTGGGAAGGATTAGGAGGTGTGTGGCCTTGTTAGAGGAGGTGTGTCGCTGGGGATAGGTTTTGAGGTTTCCAAATTCCACACCATTCCCAGTTAGTTCTCTCTCTGCCTCCAACTTGTGGATCAGATGTTAAGTTCTTAACTACTGCCCCAGCACTATGCCTGTCTGCTGCCATGTTCCCCACCAGGGCGGTCCTGGACTCTCTCTCTGAAACTGTTGTGAGCCCTCATGAAATACTTTCTTCTGTAAGTTGCCTTGGTGCTCTGTGACATGGTGCTCTGTCACAGCGGTAAAAGAAAGGTAACTACGGCAGGACCTTCAGCCTGTGTTTCTAAATTAACAGAGTATGAGTGAGTTTGCACGAGCAATGTGGGCTAGGCATGGCAGTACACACTTAAAGCCCTGGCCTCTGCAAAGCTGAAGCAGGAGGAAGATTTGAGCCCAGAAGTTCCAGGCCAACTGACGCAACATAGGAAAACTTGGCTGAAAAAAACGCAACTAAGTTTGTGTATCATATATTATTTCTTAAAATCTGACTATGCAACTATATCCTAAAAAATTATACATTAATAAATTGAAAAGTTTTTCAGGCTTTTTACTGGATAAATGAGCCATTATATTATAATTAAAGCCAGCTATATTCATGACATATACAATGTTTCACTAGACGTCAGCTATTAGATGCTAAAACGAGTAATGGTAAATGCTGAAACATAAAACACACTGTTCTTAAAATCAACCCACTACTGAAAAACAAAACGTAAAATCTGACACAGAAAAAAGTCTCATTTTTTTAAACCAAAGCACCCTGAGGACTGAGAAGTAAGGTAAAAATTTGGCAAAGTTTAAGTCACAAGGAAAGAACAGGCAACACAAGCTAAATCCTTTAAGAGGAGCTCACACGTGCAAACGTATCTTACACACAAAGCTCTGTAGCCACGACTCTGAAGAGACCTGAGCTCTCTGGAACCCAGACTCCCGTCTGAGGTATTAAAACACTCAAGAAAACCCTATCTTCCCTGCCAGAGCTCGGCAGGACTCTGGGCAGAAGGCAACAAGGACCTGGCATCACACCAAAGTCAGACTTCATGCCACAGCACAGCACTTCACAGTGAGTGTACGCATTAACGTGGGCCCTGATGGCCCTGGCCAACGGCAGAAACCCTGGAAGCTTTAATACACCTGGGATTCGGAACCACGACATGAAATAAACGGGACGCGGTTTAAATAATACTCACGGTAAAGTTGATCAGATCGTAGTGCAGGTGAAGGTGCTTTTGCTTGGTAACGTGTATTGCGCCTGACTCGTCTCTCTTAACCTGATGAGGAGAGAGAAAACAGCCTGGATATCAAGCATTATTGGAAAGAATTTTCTAAAATTTATACTCCACCTAGAATACGATTCCCATTCAGTATAAACCAAAAATACTGACAGAGCAATTACTATAGACATGAAGACACCTCAGGCGCTGTGTGATCTCCACCTGAAGAGAAGAACGGCAGCGCACAGGCCCGTCTGGCGGTGTCAGCACCTGGGGTGCTGGCATCCACTTCCGCCCGCGTTTTCCTGCGTGCCCGCGGTAGGGCGCCAGATGTCTGTCTTCTAGTCTCAGTTCTCAGTGCCTTTCCTCCCCTCTAGTCCCACCTCTTGGCTGACCTCAAGCAGTGCCCGCTTCACTGTGTCACCTGCCCGTGACAGCATGAGCTCTGGCCCCCTGTTAAGTTGCAGGGCCGGAGCCGTGAGAAAGGGGCCCCTTGCTTCTCGGTTTCACGCCTGCAGCACCAAGCACAAGTCGGTGCTGCAGGTACAAAGTGTCTTGAACTGGGAAGATCAACGCCAGCACCACCTACTCCTGAAGGCTTTCTACAGCCATCCCCGAAACTCTAGCCCGCCCCCACCCATTTCATGTCCTCCCTCCCTTTCTGGCATAGTCAACTGCTCCTTTTACAGATCTGCTTCCTTCTCTTGCTCTCAAACATATTTCTGACTTCGTCTTCAAAAATAAAAACACTCCCTAAAAAGACTTCCCTGGACTTGTTCTCACAGACATATTTAACCACTCTTCCCCTCACAAGCCGAGCGCCATGGCTGCACGACTTTGCTCTTCTAGAAACCCACTTCTTCATCAAGCTCTGCCATGGAGGTTCCACCCCGTTCCACTGCTAATCAGACTTCTAACAAGACCCTGGCAGGCCGCTGTGTCCAGTGCTCATCTCTCCAGCCTGCCTTCCTGGATCATGCCCTAGCACTGTATTACCTCAGAACTGATTCTGCCCCAGAGGCTTTGTCTCTCAGCCCCTCTCCTCCCCTTCCACACGTCTTTACAAGAACCACCTTTCCTGTTGCCCCTCTTTTTCCTCACCTTTCGTGAGCATCCAGCAAAATCACATGTTGGGGTTTAGTTATGTCTCCACCAGAGGTCCATGTACTAAGGACTTGGTTACCAGCCTATGACACTACTGTGGGGTGGGGGGGGTGGGGGTGGGGTAGCATCTTCAAGACACAGTGCTTCCTGGATGGAAGTCAGGTTGCTGTAGATGTACCCTTTCTCTTTCTCTTTCCCTCCCTCCCTCCCTCCCTCCCTCCCTCCCTCTCCCTCTCCCTCCCTCCCTCCCTCCCTCCCTCCCTCCCTCCCTCTCTCTCTCTCTCTCTCTCTCTCTCTCTCTCTCCATCCGCCATGAGGTGGGCAGCTTTGCCCTACTCCATGCACCCACTACGATGCAGCACCTTCCCCACGGGTCAGCTGACCCAAGGACCAAACGTCTGAAATGTGAGCCCAAATGAAGCTGTCCTTGCACTGACGGTCACAGCTCACACACAGAGCTCCTGTGGTTTTCAGCCTTCTACCTCCTCTGTCCTGAAACGGTCATCTGCTCTTCGCCCTGCTGTCTGCTCACTGGGCATCTGGTGTAACACTTGAGAGTCCCTCTCTGATTTCCAACTCAGCATGCTGAAATCTGAATCACATGCCAAAATCTGAAATCTACATAAAAGTTTTTTCTATTTCCTGACTCTACTGTGTAGAGATGTAATGCCTCTAATTCACGCCTCTCAGTTCCTAGACCCTGTATGATGAGAGGGTTGCCTTTCTTTTAAAATGTATTTGCTTAAGCACATCACGCACCTACAACCCTCTACCTTTGAAAATCCATTATTTGTGCTACTTCCAGACTGATCCTAAAACTGTACTTCAATTACATCTTTACCATTTCATTTACCTGTAACATCTCCCCATTACCGATCCAAGCCAATCATACCTAGAGGAGGGATGCCCCATCAAGGACTGTCAAACTTTTCTGTAAAGGGTTGTACAGTAAACAACTCTGTAGATCGTGCAGTCTGCCAGACCTACTTCACTTTACTGACGCAGTGAGAAAGCGATCAAACAACATGTGAGCTGGGCATGGTGGTGCATGCTATAATCCTAGCACTTGAGAAGTAAAGGCGGGAAAAATGGGAGCATAAGGTCAGCTTTAGCTACGATGTGAGTTTGAGACCAGTCTGGGCTACATGAGAGCTTGTCATTCATAAATAAATAAATAAATAAAGTGTAGATGATTGAACATGACTATAACAGTTTGAGTTTGAGACCAGCCTGAGCTACATGAGAGTTTGCCCATGAATGAATGAATGAATGAATAATTAATTAACGAAATATAGATGACTGAACATGACTATATTCCTGGGCTACATGAGCGTTTGCCCATGAATGAATGAATGAATGAATGAATGAATGAATGAATGAAAGAAAGAAAGAAAGAAAGAAAGAAAGAAAGAAAGAAAGAAAGAAATATAGATGACTGAACACGACTATATCCCACTAAAAAGCTCTATAAACATTCCCCAGCTATCCTTTGCACACAGGCGCTGCCCAGTGCTAGCCGAACGGGAGAGTCAGCTCCTAGACCGGGTTCCAGTGTAGTGCGGGAGAATGTTAGGCGTGTGCTCACTGTCGTGACAGGGAGGCAGAGGAGACAGCACTGGCCACGGGCCCCGCGGGGCACGCGGCAGACGCACAGAGCATTACTGACAGAGATGTCTGCATTAGTAAAGAGACCAGCTGGGAAGCCACTGCAGAGTGTAGGATAAACGCGTATGCGGTTCACACTGGGAAGTGATCAACCATGACGGGGTCAAAAGGAGAAAGGAAGACAATATGGGGGAGAGTCGACAGGACACTGTGACAGAGCACATCGGAAGGAGGAAGGCACTGAGAGGCTCCTGGCTGGCCTCACTGAGCAGGACCCCCGGTGTCTGGAGACTACACAGACACATGCCTAGCTCTGTGACTGAAGTTCACTGCCCTCCCCTTCAATTCACAAACCTCTCTAAACACTCTATGTGCTCTTACTAACAACGTTAGACTCTCATCGACTCATTGAGCACCTTAACTGTCCTCTGCAGCAGTAACTCTGGCTTTGCTATTCAAACAGTGCATAAGCTGTGTGAAAGAACGCTTTATACTTCCTTCATTGGCTTCTGTGCAAACGGCCCTTGCTCTCTAACAAATACACAGACATGTACAGACTGCATTACTGCAGACATGTTCACAATCGTACACATGCAGTTCCACATACAGACAAACCATTAATTATGTGTTAGCTCAAAGAGAAGGAACCAAAGAAATAAACCATGAAGATTAAGGAACCAAGAGAGGTCAAGTATTTCTCCATTTTTAACATGAAAGCCTTAAATACAAATTAAGTAGGCTTCGCACACACTCTCTCCAAAGACTTATGACAGTGACATAGTTTTTTTTTTTTGACACAACATTAAATTACCAGTGAAATCTGGTGGAAATATATATATACTTGAAGCTTTACTGTAGACCCACCACACATCGTGGCTTACCAAGAGAAAATGAACCACATCTCCTCTACAGAAGGCAAGCATGGGATTCACATGGTTATTCACTGCCACGAAGTGCCAGGCCAGCAACGGAACACTGGACGGATCCATCTAAGTCAAAGAAGAGAAGGGAAAATACTCATCACAGTCGACAAGTGTATTTTGCTCTGAAACCCATTAAAAAACTACAATATCTTGGTGGGTAGAAGGATGGATAGATGCATAGATATATAATAAAGGAAATACAGTAAAATGGTAAAAAGAATTTAGATGGCAAGAACACTAGTCTTTCATTAAAATTCTTTAAACATGTGTTTGAAAATGTTCATGAATGAAAACCTCAGTAAAACATTCAAAAAGATGCAAACATCATGATCAAAACCTCAGTGAGTCAATGACGCTAACCTGAGAAATGTTACTGATAATCTCTACCCGTCTGCCATCTGGAAGGACGGACCTGCTTCTTCTAGTGCCCAGATACAACAGGCCACCAACAAGGAAACAAGAGCCATCTCCCTCTGTGTCTGGGATGCAGCTATCTTGCTATGGCTGTTCCTTCCCTCTCCACGGCTGTGGTGTTCAGATGAGAACTGCACCCCCACCCCAGGTCCACTTGAATGTTTGGTCTCCACTTGGTGGAACTGTTTGGGAAGGATTAGGAGGTGTGGCCTTGTTGGAGGAGGTGTGTCACTGGAGGAGGGCTTAGAGGTCTCAAAAATCCACACCAGACCCTCTCTCTGTCTCTCTGTGTCTCTCTCTGTCTCTCTGTCTCTCTTTCTGTCTCTGTCTCTCTGTCTCCCCCCCCCCCCTCTCTCTGCTTCCATCCTGGGGATCAGATGCAAAGCTCTCAGCTATTGCTTCAGCATTATACCTGCCTATCTTCAGCCACACTTTCCACCATGATGGTCATGGGCTCACTCTCTGAAACTGTAGGCATGCCCCCAATTAAATGCTTTCTTTTATAAGTTGCCTTGGTCTTGGTGTCTCTTCACAGCAATAGAACAGTGACTAAGACAACAGCATCTCATCAATGTCCTTCCAAAGAAGACCCCAACTTTCTTACAAACAATATCAAGAACAAAAGGAAAGGGAAAAGGGATGTCCATAGGGAATGTACGTATTCCAGGCTTACCCCTTATATATAGTGGCAAAGTATTTACATGTAACCTATGTACATTGTCCCATGTACTTTAAATCATCTTTAGAATACTTTACAATTCAATATAAATGCTATATACACAGATGCTACACTGCATCATTTAGAAAATAATGACAAGAAAACATGTCTGTCCACGTTCAGTATGGACCTAAACTTTTCTGATAATGATCTGTGGCTGGTTAAATCCACAGATGCAAAACCCAGAAAACCATCTGCATTTCCTAAAAAATAACAACTTCTAAAGTGACACATATCAGAGACAGAACCCATGAAAAGCATGCATAGTGCTAATTCATATTGGCTTTACAGTGGGGTATGCTCACTCATGGTGTCAAAGAAGCAAACAATGAGCATACCCCTGCCTCAGCACAGCAGCCACTCAGCACAGCTCTCACTCAGCCCTCACTCAGTTCAGCCCTCACACTCAGCACAGCCCTCACACTCAGCTCAGCCCTCACTCAGCTCAGCCCTCACACTCAGCTCAGCCCTCACTCAGCTCAGCCGTCACACAAAGCAGCTGTCACTCAGTGTTCCTGGACACTGCAGCGAGGCTGCCTTCAATACACCAGCTTGCCCATCAGTGTTACATCCAATGAGGACATTTTACTGACCTCCGAAGAGCCGTGAATGAAACTGAGAAAATGCATGCCTGAGAGCGGGTGTAACTACAAAGAATCAGGATGGCAATATACAAAGACTGTCGAACAAGGTTAGAAACAAGCTGAATATGCTGTTCATGAAAGAGAGGCTTAAAACTAAATTAAAGACACCAAAGTACAACCTAGCACGACTCCTAAATGCCACTTTACCCTGCTTGGTTTTTTTAAGCCAGTGCCCCTGGGAGCTCACTTCCATTCTATAGCTATATGTTTGGACAATTGCATAGAATCACCCTACAGATCACTCCCTCCATCCTCCGCTTGTCCTTTCTTTTGCCAACAAAACAGAGTCATGCTCACCCGTCCATAGGGAAAGGTCATCCATACTTTCAGGGATGGTTTCAACCCAATGACCAGTATCTACAGGAGAAAAGATATGTTATTTTCAATATTTACCTTGCAATTCTCAAACTGTTCCAAGTGTCTCAAAGTTAAGAGTTCTGTCTTCTAAAGGTGCCTACCTTTGTTAAAGACGCCATGGCCAACAGTGAAAACTGTGTGATGGGGTGATCTTTCAACTCGGGCTTAGAATGCAGGGGCTCAATGCAGCAAACTTCACCCTTGGAGCCGCTGAACAGACACCTCGATTCACACGTCCTCACTCCCATCACTCTCCTGAACACATAAGACATTCACAATCAATTCAGTGACAACCCAAGACACTATTCCCTCCAGCCCGACTGCCCAGCCAGCCACTCCTAGCTACACGTTCCACGGGACAGCTTCTCTTCACGGCACAGTCACACCTGCTGCCACTCTTCTAGTAACAACGCTCCATTGACTCCTCTGTATGGAAATGAAGCCCAAGCTCTTTACAGGTCTCAGTTCTGCGGGATCTGGGTCTTACCTTCACTCCTCTCCTGCCACCGTCACCCTGGCTCCTTCACATCCCCACGTGTGCCTTGTGTTGGGGTGACTGCCCCCTTCCACTAGACTTTTCATTTGCTGACTCTGATATCTCAGCTCTTTCTTCTCAAATATCACCTTCTACCGAAGACTTTCTGACTTACGGTCAAGTGCAAGCCAGCACAATGGCCTGTCTCCTCACACCACTCAAAACTACCCAATTATGGCATTTATTTTTCGGCTTGTACCTGTCTCCCGATGCTCACTCCAAATGTTCATACTCTGGCCGTTCATAACTCTAACTCTGGTGTCTAGACAAATATCTGCACATAGGTGATGCTCAATAAACACTAGCTGGGTAAATGACCCATGTTGTTTCAGCAATTACTTTGTGCCTAGTATCTAAAAAGCTATGAAAAACCTAAGAAACAAATACAGACGTTGAGAATTCACGGAAACAAAATACACATTATATTTTGTGTTCTACATTTTTAAACCTCAGCTTCACAAATACTCTACCAGGTACTTGGACTATTTTTACTCCTATTTAACAAGTAAAACAGGACAATCTGAAGGCAAGAAACCCCTTTTCGTACCTGCCATTACCCAGTGAGCTTGGAGCCCAAACTAAAATTAGTGAACCATGCAGAAGAGTTTCTAACCTGGGAGCATGGAAGAGTCTCCCGGGGAGTCCAAGTCTAGAATGCCAATTCAGACCTGAGATAAAATCATGGAGACCAGGCCTAGACTCCCACGTGTCTTGTAAGCTCCCCAGGTAACTATAACACAGCCAGAACCTATTTGCAAACACCTGGACTTTCCAGGCCTCTCCCTGTTCAATCTCCAACCATTACACAGCTGATCTTTCCATTTTCCAACGAGCGTCCATCGGTCTCTTACTTAAACGTGAGTTCAAACACGGAGCCTCCGCTGTCGTTGCAGATTGCAAGAGTCGGGTCGTCTGTAAACTAAACAGAGAGGGAGTTTATTGTCTTGTAAATGTTAAACAACCAGACAAGTGTTTACAAATAGATCGTGGGGACAAAAATATAAACTCTGAAAACAAAATACACACTTAGCACATGAAATAACTCACATTTGGTTCATCTCTTTAAAAGTACAAAATTGTCCTTACTTCCAATAGTATTAGCTCAGTATCTTCAAAACAACTGAGGCCTTCAAAAAGCAAACAGGGTGATGAGATGTCTCAGAGGCAAAGGCATCTGTCACCAAGCCTGACGACATGCATTCTACCCCTGGGACTCACACAGTGAAACAGAGTTACAGGTGGTTGTAGGCTGCCTGGTGTGGGTGCTGGGAATCGAACTTGGTTCCCAGCAACAAGTGCCCTTAGCCTCTCAGCCCCGACACAGTGAAGTAGAGAACCTTCACCGACTCCCACAAGTTGTCCTCTGAGCTCCACAAGCTCCAGATAACATATGCCCTTCCCCACAACATACACACACAATAAATAATGTTTTTTAAAAAAGTAAAACAACCTTTCATCAGGATAAAAGTAAAAACTAACTTCAGTTGATAAAAACCCTGATTTCCTGGCTTGGTTATTACATTAGGTTTTATAACTTGGTATTAAATTATAATACCATGGAGATACACTGAAGTTGATGACTTTGTAGTAAGATTCTTGGGATCTTTGGGAAATAAACTTGTTTGAGTAAGTGACTCTTCCTAAATGGGTATCTCCCTGACTTTTTTGTTTTGTTTTGTTTTTCAAGACAGCGTTTCTCTATGCAGCCCTGGCTGTTTGGAACTCACTTTGTAGACCAGGCTGGTCTCGAACTCACGGGGATCTGCCTGCCTCTGCCTCCTGAGTGCTGGGATTAAAGGCGTGCACCACCACTGCCCAGTACTCCCTGACCATTTTTAAGAATGTATTTGAAGCCGGGAGGTGGTGGTGCACACCTTTAATCCCAGCACTCGGGAGGCAGAGCCAGGCAGATCTTTGTGAGTTCAAGGCCAGCCTGGTCTACAAAGCAAGATCCAGGAAAGGAAATAAATAAATAAATAAATAAATAAATAAATAAATAAATAAATAAATAAATAAATAAATAAGAATGTATTTGAATGACTGTAACTTGGAAAACTCAAAGCAATGGCCTTATGTTCAGGTGTGTTATGGTAAATGCTACTGGATGCAAAAGCAAATGGTAGAATTTATAACATTTACAGGGACTTGCCTTAGAAAGCCTGAAAGTTGGTGAATCATTCTGAATGAGCCAATTTCACTCAGAGAGAGCTGAGACACAACACTCCCTCAACCCACCCCACACACACTTAACAAAGACGTCCCCAACCTTTCTCTCAAAGCCTAGATGAGCAGCTGCTAAGAGGGGAAGCGCATGTGATCTCCGGTCCCGTGCAGGAGAGGACAGAGAACTCACGTTTCTGTTTCATTTCTCCTTTTTGCGTATGTACTTTTTAAAACTGGTACAAACATTTGTAGAATCATACACATAGACCAGTACACAGGATCCAAGCCTAGACTGCTGTTGATAATATCAGACTGTCTGGAGAATGATGCGTTAGTTACTCAAAGGCAGTAGATGTTAGTCCAGGCCTCCAGTAACACTGACACATATACCTCCCTTTCTCTCCTGCCAGGGTCTGCAAACCCCACTTTCAAATCATTCCCAAACAACACAGCTCCTGGAGCTGCACCTTCATCTCAGCTACAGCCTTCTCTTTTTTCTCTGCCTTTAATTCTTCTGTTTCTTATTGTCCCACCCAATAGTTTCTTCTTTTTTTCCTCTATAAAGAGACTAGTTATTACTTCAAGCAAACATTTATTGAGCAGTTACTATAGGCAAAACACAAAAATAAATGACAGATTCTGATTTCAAAGATCTTAATCTATTAAGAGAGATAAAACATGTGCAGACAACAATCACATTAGAGGTTGGCACATGCTGTAGAAAAAGAGGTCGAGATAAATCAGCTTCAGGCCCCGAGAGGAAGGACTAACTTGTCTTGGCTGTTTTCATCATTCCTAAATGCTTCAATGCTGTTTTGTCACACAAGACTTTCTGTAACTAACCTAGATGCAGATATATAAACTCCAGATGCTAAGGGCTTTAAAAAGCATGTGTGTGGATAAGAGAACCGCATAGCTAAGCAACCAAGTATGCACATGATTAAATCTAGAAGAGCTGGTTTTAGAATCCCCTTGATATAGTCCTTTACCTTTTATGCTTCTGAACACGGGCTTGCCAGCATGAAAAGGCAGGCTTCACATGTACTATAAATGAAGCCTGTTACCTCAGTCAGTTTTATGTTTTTCAGGCCTGAGAGTAAAAAAAAAAAAAAACCAACACGGCGACCTTAATGCTTTTCCTTTAGAGGCTGCAGAGAAAATAAACCAAATGATTCACTTCTAACTATGATCCAAGCCCTGGCTCTTCCAGAGTTGGTGCCTGGAGCCTCAAGCACTTTCCAACAACGGGCAGCCATACACCCCTAGGCAATAAAATCTTGGCCAACTGAACAAGGTGAAGAGAGTGTTTAAAATCTCCACATGAGTTTTTAGCAGGGTATTGCTTCTCGGCTGCCGAACCCTACTATGGGATCAGATCAAGTCATCCCTTTGCTGCTAGACTTCAGGATAACCTGAGCTGATTATCTTCATTCTGGCCCATCTCTGGTTTTTAACCTGAGAAAGTATCTTTTTGGAGTCATCAACTAATATTCAGCTTCGTGTTAAATAAATGGAGGGGGTGTCTGGTTATCAGAATGTTTAATGTGGCTACAGAGGCATGGTAACAAAGACAGTTAACATGAGGAGGAGAAGCTGTCACCTTGATGTGCAAGATGGCTGTCCCTGGAGGGTGAGCATCTGATATTGACCTGAGAAGTTTCCCGCTGGCCAAATCCCACATGGTGATCTGTAAGACAGGCAAAGGCTTTAAAAACACATGGATTGCTTTTTTGGACTTAAGTATCTGCCTTTTGGCTGAAATAACCTATTCCTTGTCTATAAACGTTGCAGGAAGAAAGCCATCAAGTTAAAACACAGTTACAAGCTGAGACTCCATTAGAGCACTGGACCTTTATTTCCATTTCCACCTCCCCTGCCCTCCCTCTGCCTGGCCCACTTAACACTTCGATTTTGTCATTGCTGATAAGTCAATCTGTAGAGCACTGACTAAAAGTTCATACAAAAGGTATCATAGCAAACCAGCTGTGATGCAAAGATCAGAGAATGAGAAAAACCGTGACTTATCACCACAAAGATGGGAATGTCAAAACAACTGTCCAGAAGCACGGCAATGGGAATGGTGTGTTTAGAAGGGGCCACAGGGGTCAGAGGAGACGGCTCAGCTGGTAAAACGCTTCGTAAGCACGAGAGCCTGAGTTCAACCCTAGAACTTTAAAAATGCCAAGTGCGGGAGCAGAAGAGACGGCTCGGCAGTGAAGAGCACTACTTCTCCTGCAGGAGGACCTGATTCACTGCCCAGCACCCACACCGGAAGCTCACAACAGCCTCCAACTCCAACTCCAAGGAGACCCAAAGCCTCCATTCTCAGCTGGCGCCTGTGCTTGTGTGCACAAACCCATACAGAAACACACACACACAATTAAAATAAAAGAAATCACACGCCTTTAATCCCAGCACTCGGGAGGCAGAGGCAAGCAGATCTCTGTGAGTTCAAGGCCAGTCTGGTCTACAGAGTGAGTTTCAGGATAGCCAGACAGCCAGGGCTACACAAAGAAACTGTCTTGAAAAACAAAACAAAAAAATAAATAGATAGAGGGGAGGGAGGGGGAACTGGGATTGGTATATAAAATGAAAAAAAAAAACTTTTTAAAAATAAATTAGATAGATAATCTTTAAGCAAAAAAGGGGCTAGGTGCTGTGGCATATGGGCTTGTGGAGAGGTGGAGCTTTGGGAGGTGGAGACAAGATCCCTGGGGCTCACTAGTCTAGCATGACTGGAGTTGTTCTTCAGACTCTACACGTGTGCACACCCCAAGGATACACACACCCACACTCATCAAAAAATAAAAATAAAAGCAACCACAATTATATACTACTACCATAAGAGAATATATTTTATAAAAGCTGTCTACAAAGATAAAACACCATTACAATATGAAAGCTGCAGAATCAGTTATTAACAATTATTTTAAAAATCTAAATAAGACAAAGGTCAGACTAACAGACCTCAGGCTGGCACTAATGGGCATGTAACCTCTAGATGTATCACTTCACAACACCTAACATGTATTTTGCTCTTCGAAACACTTCCTACACACACTCAGACTGTACTTCAGGGTCACGTTACCTGTCCTTTAGCAAAGCCACAAAGAAGTCGTGAGCAGTCGTTGTTGATGCTGAGGGCAGAGATGGCTCCATACTGTCCCCCGACGCTTGTGCTGCCCAGGCAGAGCCGAAGTGCTTGATTCTGGTCTAGAGAAAGCAAGCAAATTAGACCCTGAGATAAAACAGTGAGACCTACAAGAAAACATAACTCAAAACTTGCTGGTGACAAAACAGAAATTCATAAGAAGATACATTTTCTTAAACAAACCATCTCTAAGCTGCTTCATCCTACAACTGAATTTTTTTTTCCTATTTCTAATATGTTAGGATACAGGGAATGCCACTTTGTCTGTGGTGTGTTTGTGTGTGTGTGTGTGTGTGTGTGTGTGTGTGTGTGTGTGTGTGTGTGTGTGTCTGTGAGTGTTTATGCATGCATGTGTGATGCGTATGTCTGTCTATGACTGCAGGTGCAGATGCCTGTACATTCATTCATATGCAGAGGCAAGGAGGATGTTAGGTATTTTCCAATATTGCTCCCACACCCCACCCCCGTTTGGTATGACCTCTCTGAGGGCGAAGACCAGAACACCTCGCCTGATGGTTATCCCAGCTATGGTAAGAGCGACCTGCCTGCTACCGAAGAGCCTGGAGGCTGCTCGTGGGTACAGTGAGCAGCACTAGGTAAGTACTCATTCCCATCCAAAGTGAACACTGCATGAATAATTCTGTGTTCATAAACTAGCTGTAACGGCACACAAGCGGCCTGAGACAATCAATGGCTGTACTCCATCTGGCACACAGAAAATACTCAATAGTTTTTAAGTTATTTTAGATTTCTAACTCCCGCCGGGCGGTGGTGGCGCACGCCTTTAATCCCAGCACTCGGGAGGCAGAGCCAGGTGGATCTCTGTGAGTTCGAGGCCAGCCTGGGCTACCAAGTGAGTTCCAGGAAAAGGCGCAAAGCTACACAGAGAAACCCTGTCTCGAAAAACCAAAAAAAAAAAAATAAATAAATAGATTTCTAACTCCCAAGGTAAATATTCAAAAAGAATAAACCATAAATACACAAGGTCTCATGTGTTTTAGAAGTCTTACCTTTATTTCACACCCAGAATTATATAATTACAATTTTCACATTCATCCAAACTATCCTTCCCCTAATTTTTAACTTTAATTTAACCCTTATTAAAACCTCTTTTACTCTAGAATTTCTTGCATCCAATTATGACATCATGTTTCTTTTGCTCTACTGAAACTGCCTCCAACTGGGTTTTCCATGATCTACCTTATACATTTAGAGGACTATCCACACCTGAATCACAAACTGACTGTGACTGGACAAAGGTGTTCTATGTGTACTATTAATCTGAGTCACTTGTACAGGCAAGAGACGGGCTAAAAGCAGGAGAGCAAAGAACCGACAGTGAACACTAACTCACACGTCCCCAGGTCTGGGCCGCCTACCTTCCCAGCACAGGGTGGTGTCCAAACGGTACCTGCTAAGACCTTCTGCAGCCCTGCTTTGAGATCCAAGCCTTACGGGTTCTGATGTACTAACACCTGCAATTGTTATAGATTCCACAAACCTCAATGTAAGTTTTGGTTTTGGGTTTTTGGAGACAGGGTTTCTCTGTGTAGTCCTGGCTGTCCTGGAACTCACTCTGTAGAATAGACTAGCCTCGAACTCAGAGATCCGCCTGCCTCTGCCTTTCCGAGTGCTGAGATCAAAGGTGTGCGTCACCCCTGCCCAGTTTAATACTCTTATGTGGCAGACAAAGCAGGAAAAGAGAGAAATCCGATCAAATAGATAGTGTATGACTTAAGAAAAAGGACTCTACAAGAGTAGCAACGGAAGAAAGAAGAGGGGAAAGATATCTAAAAACCTATGCACAGCCAGGCGTCACAGTGCAGGCCTATGACCCCAATACTTGGAAGCAGAGGGAGAAGGATCAGGAGTTCAAGACCATCCTCAGCTACATAACACGTTCAGGGCCAGTCTGGGTTACATGAGACCCTGTCCAAAGACAAGCCAGAATGCCTATGCTTCCCTGCCTACAGTTCCCACATAAGAAAAACTAGCCAAGAGAGGAAAGGAACCCAATAGCAACCTTGGTCACTCCTACAGTCCATGTCTGTGAGAAGATCCTCAAGATTCCCTCGGTTGTTTTCAATGTTTTTATCTTGTTTCTATAATGCCCTGACAAGGCAGCAGGCCTGTGGAGCCTTGATTTTGATTTCCCCTCTACTGAAGAGTTACAGACACTGCAACTGTACACACGGACGGTTTTAGGGCTGTTCCTTCCTTCCTCTTAACCTCCCCATCTTCATCAATGCAATGCAGAGAACAGTCCGTCACCTTACGGCTTCACTGAGAGAACAGATTACTAAAGTAAAGCGATATACGCAAAGGACCAACTCAATAGGTTTCCACTGAAAACACACAGCATTTTTAAAGTAGCAAAGATGGTGGCAGGAGACGACTGCGTGTAACATATAATCTGCTCTGACTCCACAGAGCTATCTTTCCATTTTCATTCTGCATTTAGACATCCTATTGTTATGGTATGCTAAGCTTGCTGTGGGTAACCTGTCTGAATTCAGTAGAAGTAGCTAGTCCATGGAAAGAAGAGTGGGTTTCTCCTAACACCGGAGCTACACCGTCTGTAGTCCATATGAATCTGCCCAGCTTGGGGAGTGGTCGGCTGAAACAACCTCTTAAACGGTCACAGCTCGCGGTGACGATGAAGGGAAAGAGGGCGTACACGGAGAAAGAAGAGTGAGGGCGAGAACTGAGCCCGGCTCCCGCTGAGTCGTTCATTTAAAAAGAAAGCTGGCTCTGTCCTCCCCTGCAGCCTGAAGCCTCCTCTGTCTAACACTGAAAAAAAACGCACTAAATTCACAGTAAATTCATCCACTTTCACACACAAAGCAGCACAAACTTACGTCTGGTTAACACTGTCGACTTAGTATTTTAAAAGTGTTGACGTTATGATGGAGGTGATCCAGCCAGGAAATATAAAAGGAGACCATTGCTTTTCCTGCATGCTTCACAGAGTTTTAAAGTTTGAACAACAAATGTCTATGAACAATCCCAGAATTATCAAGTAACACAAATGCAAGTGATTATAGGCAACAATAATACAGTTTAAAAATTAATTAAGAGGACTCGAGGTCCAGAATCACAAAAACACAGAAGCCGGGAAAGGTGACCTGTAATCTCAACACCCAGACACAGGCAGAAGGATTGCCACAAGGCCAACTCTACTCAGTGAGTCCCAGAGCAACCAGAAATACAAAGTCATACTTTGTCCTAAAGCAAAAAAAAAAAAGGAGGGGGGCATTTGCCATTGCAGTGAATTACACTTATTTGTATTAGTACTAGATAAGCATCCCTAAGCCAAACAACTAAAGTCTAAAGCACTGCAAAACCCAGTCCTTGCTGAGCTCCATCAAACTGACATTGCAACACTTCACACTTTTGGAGCATTCCAAATTTTAGATTTTTAGATAGAGATGTTCAACCTGCAAAGTCTAAGCAAATATTCCAAAATGCAAGAGACTCAAAATCTGAAGCACTCCGGACACCAGGCATTTGGATAAAGAACGCTCAACGCATACTTTGCTTAGGGTAGACCTCATGATGGGCTTAACGGTAATGTAAAAAATAGCAATGAAGTCATAAATAATAGCCTGAAATCTAAAGTTGAACATACTTCAAGAGTTCCACAAGGAATCAAATTTACTTGTAAGCAGGTAAGTCTAACCCTAGCCTGCCAGTGCTGACCACTCTCAAGCGTTATTTTTTAATTCGTGTGTGTGTGTGTGTGTGTGTGTGTGTGTGTGTGTGTGTGTGTGTGTGTGTGTTTTGGGGTTTTTTTTGGGGGGTGGGGGTTGAGACAGGGTTTTTTCTGTGTAGCCCTAGCTGTCCTAGAACTCACTCTGTAGACCAGGCTGGACTCGAACACACAGAGATCCAGCTGCCACCACACCCAGGCTAAGTGCTACTTTCTTATCCTGTATTGACTTACTCACACTGTAATAAGCTCTAGGGCCAAGGGAAAATTAAACAGGGGACCTCATTATAAAGCATTTGTCACATTTGATACAAAATAGTAGATGCACTTTTAACTGAGCAGCTCACACAGCCAAACCTTACTCCTTCTGTAAGGCTTTCTAACCAAGGCAACCTGAATCCACGCCATGGCTGACTGGCTACCTTCTAGAATGCTGCTTCTACGAAAGAGTCTGTTCATTCCTAGGCATCCATGCCACTGTGATGTTAGCATACTTGAACTTACAGACCAGAGCACAAACAGAGCTGTGGCCGCCATGAGTACCAGGGAGGTGCTTCAGAAAAGCCTGGAGAAGGAGAGTTGCTCTACAAAAGTATCAAGAAACTGGGCATCAACAAGATAATATTAAATAAAACACTGAGGCAAAGTTTCACCGGAATCTAGAATTCTGTACTCATGGATTAACTAACAGGTGCTGAAATTCTATGGGACTCACTATTGATAAAGTTTATGACAAAAACATGTTGCTGTACACCTCCATTGGCAGACACAAACTTCAAGAAAAAGCTCAGGGCTGTATTAAAAGGTTGGAGGAAACAGAATATACTGAAAAACTGCCTAAAATAATTCCATATTTTCAGCTAAAATAAAGCATTGAAAATATGCATACATTTTTAATTTTCACAATGCCTGTATTAACCAATTTTAGGTAGCTATTTATTTTTCTTTCGTAAGAAGGCGTTAAGTGTAACTGACAATACTCTCTTTCAATGTTAAAAAGCTGAAAAGAAAAGGAACTATTCATGCATACCAAATTTACTATACCTTTTCCTTTTGAATCCATGGAGAAAAGATCAAAAAAGAGGGAGAAAAGAAATCAGTTCAAAAGTTCAGAGAAAAACGCAGGCACACTCTGAAGGGTGTAAGTGACGAGCTTTGTTTATCTATGGGAGTGACAGATGCTGAGTGGGATTAAGTGATGTTCCTAGCATTTGTGGTTATAGTCAGGTATTGGTTCTGGGAAAAGAGAAAACATGCAACATTCAAATTATCGCACAGTCAGTAAACCCAGGTTTCAGTTCAACGGAAACGAAACATTTCAAAGAGATCCATCACCAGAGCACACTGAGGGCAAAGGGAATGGAAGAGTAAGGCTGCAGGAGGGAGGTACCTTTATTTACCCCGTGGAAACCCACGCACTAGCTGCCACCTGCTGGAACTGCACAAGCCTTTCAGAAGTACGGGGCTACTGTCTTAATGACTCAGACCTGTTTCACAGAGAACCTAACAGTGCTCAGACACAGTCAGTCTTCCTGCAAGGTTTCTGTGATAAACAAAGATATTTTTAAAAGGCCAGATCTAACCCAGACTTCTAGTCTAGACACTTCATGGTGTCTGCCATTGGTTTCTGGGCTTTTTAGCAAATTTTAATGCATTTGTTAGAAAACACTGTCCAAACATCTGTCACCTACAAACAAGTGAAATTTAACTGTGCTATTAAAACCCAAGGCAAAACCAGATACTCTGGTTCTTCGACAGAATGTCCACTCTGGCATACTTTCTTTCCTGTGAAGCCATAAGAAAAGATTATTGTTTCATTGCTTCTACAGGAAAGTTGCTGAGGATTTTAGAAGAGCAGCAGGCAGGTCCAAGGAAATGAAGGAGACAGTATCAAGAATGATGCTCTTCTGTGATAACATTCTTGTCTGTGGTGAGCACTTCCTCCGTGACTATAAGCAGTCACGCACTCTTCCAACCTCTCGATAAGGAATGGAGAGTGAAAGCAGAGCTGAGGAAAACCAGTGAGAAATAGGAAGGAAAACTGGACACACGCTCTGCTGGCAGATAAACAGAGGCATATACTCTGTCCTCGGCCGTCCTTAGTCCTCTTCTTTTCTTCGCTTCTTCCAGTTCTGCCTCATTTTCTCTCAGGGAAAAGAACTGCTTAAAACAGAGGCGATTACTGGTCTCGGAGCCAGAACTGTTGAATTCTGAACTTGACTCTGTGTGTGTCACCCAACCGCTGGTTCTCAACCCCTTCACACACTTAAGACTCGAGCAGTGAAACGCGGGCCTACGAGACTCTCCCCCACGTCTAATGACCTAATCCCAACTACCCCTTAGAGGAGAACAAGGACCTCCCCACCTGCTGCAGACTACGCTCGTACAGTTCTCTGGAATTCAATTAATGTTCGTGTCCCAGCCCAAACAATTCCTCTTGTAGGAATTTGTTCTAAAAAACGATCATATGCAAAAAACAAACAAAAAAAAAAAAAAAACAGAAACAAAGCTGTGCAAGACACTACTGTTTAGAAACAGCATAAATAGTTTCCTTGAGTAAAAGGCTAATTAAATTTTTATGGATCCATCTGAAAGAACACTGTCTGTCCATTAAAATGATGTTCCATACCTGTACGCTCAACACTGGGAGGCTGAGGCCACATAAGCAAGTTCTAGGCAAGCCTAAGCTATACATTGAGACCTCAAATGAACAAAGATGCCCACACAAACACAGAAATGCATGGGGAGGTGCCCACTAGAGCAAAAAGCTGGCTCTAAATTATCATTGCTCCTCCTTAGGAATATGCATACAGCTATATACATACGGGAGAGAAGGACTGGATGGCTATACAGAAATGCTAAAGATTAGTCCTAGATATTAGAATTTGTTATTTTATATTTTCCAATTTGCACACATCTATGTACATTTTGTACTATAGATACAGATCAATTATACAGGAAAAAAAGATACCATTTAAAGACTCAATTCTAAAGTTCTCTCAGGGAAATTACAGTTTTGTTCCTCTCCTTCTGCTCTTCAAGAAATAAAACTCTATTATTTATATCAACCACCTTTGAAAAGACTAGGTAGTATAATTATATGTTAAATAAAGCTTTTTGAATAATGGAAAATTTATAAATGGAAAGTCAAATTATTCAGTAACAATAGGAAATACCTAGTTCTTCGCACAGAAGGTAAAAACGAAGACTCAACAGAGATCAAGCTACGGTTCTGCTAACAAAGTGCCCTCAAGTAACCCTTACCCAGCAGCTCTTGCTAATTCCCATCTAAAAGAAACGCAGATCATGAGACCCAGAGGCAAGCACCCACACACAAAAAGAGCTGAGAATACTATCTGATGGATTTTAAGTGTTTAAAAAGACCAAAATAGTCTGCTTGATACTGAAGTCAAAAGTAAAAGACTAATGGAACTGATTACTTAGTCTCAGAGAAAAATGAAAAAAAGCAACTAATTTCTACTATATAATTAAACGATTCATGCTCTCTTAACTCGGAAAACAAGGTAATTACAGGCTTTTTTTTTTTTTTTCAGTTTAGAAAGATTTACAATGGAAATGACTCAGAAACCTGGGGACTCCTTTCCCTGAAGATCTTTTTGAATACCCTGGACTGGAATATGACTCAGAATAAAAAATGATTCCCACCACTAACCGGAGGGAGACATGTTGACAGGCCTAGGTTCTTTCCAACATTATTCTCCTGTCTAGGTGTACAGAACACTAACAGATGTGTTAGCAGCGACACTTACATATTCATAAGGAAGGAAAGAAATGTGCAGGAAGAAGTGAAATGAAGCCATAAGTCGAGTAATTTTTAACTTCAAATACCAACTGCTACTTCATGTTTTCCTTGTGTCCTTGGAAATCCAGTCTACCATATAAAAATGTAATTAAAGGACATTGTAAAGCCTAAAAGGAATCTTGATATTTAAAATAGAAAGTGATTAGAAAATTACCAAACACTAAAGCCAGTCCATGAGATGTCCCCACTGCTATCAGCCTGGACACTGCCTGGAGACAAAAGAGAAAACCATCAGTGTTGAATCTGCTGGCCTGCCTTCCTCTAGGCACCAGCTCACGCACCAACCACTAAAATATGGAATTTTATCCAGAAAGCAAAGCAAGAAATCAAACCCAGGGCATCTTTTTTTCTAAGGATTCCTCTAAATTTAAGAGAAATGTTATCAAAATATCATGTTTAATTCTATATATGAACTATATCATTTGATATCCTTTAAAGCAATGGTTCTCAACCTATGGGTCACAGCCCCTTTGGTAAATCTCTATCTCTAAAAATATTTATTTACAATACAATTCATAACAGTAGCAAAATTACAGTTATGAAATAACAATGAGAATTATTTTGTGGTCACCACAATATAAGGAACTGTGGTAAAGGGTTGCAGCATTAGGAAAGTTGAGAACCGTTGCTTTAAAACAACTTTAAAATTAAAAAAACAAAAAACAAACAAACAAACAAACAAACGCCTCTCTGGCCAGCTGAAGAGATGCTTATGTGGGCCTCCTAGCAATGTGGAGGGGTGAGAATCCTTTTCTCCAGTTTATCACCAGCAGGCAAGAGACACCAGAATGTAGCACTTGAGCCTGCTTCCTCACCAGTGACTGATGAGAAAGCCACAGAGGCCGCTGAGAAAAACCAGGAGGCAGATCCTTCGTGCATTCAAGCCTCTCCGGCTTGCCACTCCAGACACTATCTGCAGGCGCGGCCCTGGAGTCCACAGCTGTGGAATGTGTCTTACCAGAGTGAGCTCACTCAATACCATTCCAGTCCTTACAGACTCGGGGACACAGCTCACAGGGGACCTCGGGCTGGAAAGGTCTGTCTCCATCACCTGCTCTCAAGCAAAAGCCTGAGTGCTCAACAATACAGCAGGAAAGTCAAACTGAGCAAGTTTTAAACCTGATTACTGAGAGTAAAATGGTTTAAGGAGCTATCATAATGGCATGGGATATTTTCATAGCAAACCTGAGAACTCAGTAAAATTAAAAACCTTACCTTGAGGGGCTAAAGGTATACTTACAATTGCTGTGGGCAAGCCCGCATCCACTCTGTCCTAAAAGAATTTTAAAACAGAAGAAGTTGAGAAGATACTGGTATTGAGAGTAAGCGTGCAACCTCTTTTTATGCACTCTTGGACCTGAACAGCTTAGGTAGGAAGTGCACCCTTCCCCTCCCCCTCCCACAAGAGCTGCAGACATCAAAACAGGAGCCTGAGAGGAGACTGTTTTATTTCACTAACGGTAACAGATGCTTCGGGTGCCAATTAGGGATGGAAATTTAAAGAAGAAAGTTTGTTTCCCATGCTGTAAAAAGACTAGAAGTCCTACAGGACCAAAACGGTAGAATCAAAGATTCAAGAAAAGGAGTACTCTCTGCAGGCACCCCACCTCTGTGTGGGATGCTCCCCTCCAGTAGATTAACTCCAGTGACTAAATGAAGCTCATCAGGAAACAATGAGTCCTTTCTAAAACAAGCAAAATATCAAGTACCATTCAGCTCCTCGCCAGTAACTACGACGTCAAAGTCTCTAACTGTTCTGACAGTGATCTCCACCTGTTCAGAAAAACAGCAAGTACTGCTCTATTTATCCTAACACACACACCATCCTGTGGACAAATCAAATGCAAAAAATGCTATACTGGTGTCCACCTGGGGCTTAAGTGGCTTTAAGTCGTAACAACAGCTTGTGGTGATGCAGAACTGTGACAGTGTCTTCGTCGGTGCCCTGCCGTGTGGAGGGCGACACATGCCTGCTATGAATATTGGATATACGATTTGTATTCTGTTCCACACAGAGAAAACAGGGATGAGAGTGCAGATGAAAATCATAAACTACATTCAAACGAACGTAAAAGCCATCTGGCTTCAAAAAGTATCAATGACAGATGTGGGGAACATTTTAGCATCAAAACTGGAATTTTCCTGGGGGTGGAGCAGGGGGAAAAGAGTGTAGGGGATAGGTCACGTAAAAGTAAATATTAGAAAATGCCATAAGGAAACCTGCATTGTGTATGCTAATTTAAAAAAACGCTCTTAAAGTTGAGATGAATGGGAAACATGCAAGGAGACACAGTGCCAGTTGAGCAGTGAGCTGAAGTGAAGTGAGGGAGTGGGGGGGAGGGAAGGAAGGGGGAGGGGAGGGACAGAGTTAATTAAGTTATGGGATTGGTGACACAGCACCCTAGCGTGGTTAGTGGCTCTTAAAAGCCACACTCTGTGACTGTCACCTGGGATGCTCATTAGAATGCAGATCCCTATGCTGCTCCACTAATACAATTCAGAAGGGGTGGGTGAGCTCCAGGAAGCTGCAATTTCACAGTCACCCCAAGAGAGCCCAGCACAGTGGACATGTTTTTAAACAATAATAAAACATGTGCTGAGGCCTCTATAGTAGCCTAAGTTCATCCTTAAAATGATAAATTCTTTTTTAAAAAAACCTAATTTGAATTAATTTTAAATATAGTCATATGTCACATTACTTTGAGAAGGATCCCAAAATTAAGCAACAAGACTCAAAAATTCCATGTTTCCTAAGTCTTTTTCATTCATGGACTCCAAAGTCAAGATGATCGTGTCCAAGCAAGTCTGATAACATCACTGTCCACAAGGCTGAAGGCACAAGTGATCAACTATTCAGGAAAAATACCCCAAACAGAAATAGCTTTCCATGTTAACAAGCCACCCGTCACGGAAAAGCATGCAACTTCAGTGGAGCTGGTAATCCAAGGTTCGGAAAGCACCGCATCGTGCCTGGCGTAGGGAGAGCAGTGTTATTGGGACACACACTCTGGGATTGATTAGAACTGCCTCCTCGTCCTCAGGAAAGAACAGGTTTCTCTGATCAGCGCTCAGTGTCTGAGTTCTAGTTCAGTCTCCATTATCCAAAATATTTCTTAAACTGCACAGGTGGGTCAAATGACTGCTCTGGTCCATCTTGATTGGGAAAGGGATCAATTTCATCACCTACATAAGGATTAGATTCAGAAAATGTCGTGGAAACGTGATCCTCAACAGGTGGTTTCCATTCTGGCCTATATGAGCTCCTCTCCTCAAAGGAGGAGGCACTGCCCACTCCCCCCTGCTTGGCCATCTCTCTAGCCAGCACCATGTCTGATGCCGTGCGCATCAGCTGGGTCAGGACACACAGCTGCCCAGGATGAACGTTAGCTGCTCTCCGCAAAGGAGCTTCCTCTAGCAGAACTGACAACCGAAACACAGCCGGACGCCACGACGCCTGCCATCTCGCCCTCTCACTCTCTTGAAAAGTAACTTTCATTTCTTGTCCAAATCAAATATGTAAAATGTTAAACACCATGAAAAGGACATGAGACAGTATCGAGGTCCCTGCTGTCATCATTATATTGTCATCCTTATCGTAGACAGAACTACCGAATTCAGAAGACAGACTTGACAACGTAAACAAAAGCGTGAGCTGTGAGGTCAAAGAAGAGTGTGCTCAGCCGGGCGGTGGTGGCGCACGCCTTTAATCCCAGCACTCGGGAGGCAGAGCCAGGCGGATCTCTGTGAGTTCGAGGCCAGCCTGGGCTACCAAGTGAGTTCCAGGAAAGGTGCAAAGCTACACAGAGAAACCCTGTCTCGAAAAACCAAACAAAAAAAAAAAAAAGAAGAGTGTGCTGAGTGCACTAAACACGTTTGCACACCACCCCAGTGTTGTACGACATTTTTAAAAGACCCCAAATATTCCATGGCAGCCACTGGACAACAGCCCCATCCACCAGGGCCCCTGCCCTCACAGCGGCGCCTCTCCCCCTCTGAGCTGCCTTCCAGTCTCCAGTCAAGGCACGGCTTTACCTTCTTCCACAGGGGCACATGAAAAAGACGTGTCAGTTATTTTTAAATCGTTCGGTTATAATTCTGACCCATCATCTGGTCATACAAAAAGGCTAAAAACCAGCACTTCACCTCACCAAACTCCTAAGACGGCAACTAACCTGGAAAGAAGGCAAGGGGAAGGCAGCGGGCGGTTCTCTCCGCCTGCTGACACGCTTCACTCGGCACACTGCAGTGCTCACCGACCTTTACTCTCATGGCCGCACTAACTCCTACGTCAAGATGTGGGGCCATGTCTTACGAGTCAAAAACAGCCGGAAAAACCATAAAAGCCAGACTGTATTTCTCTTAAGCTCTGAGGCGAGGGAAGAGCCGGGCTTTGTTCGTGCCCGCTCCTACTTCGTGCCACCACAGGCCATCAAGCTGCGGGAGGACGGACACTCACAGCTGCAGACACAATCTGCGCAGATATTCCCTTCAGAAGTGAATGCCGCATAACCGATCCGTGCAGCGAGAAGGAATCAGGCAGCCTCTTCTTCCTGAGAAAGAGAGAGAGAGAGAACAAAATAGTTAGCGGAAGGGTTGAGAAGGCAGGATCCCAAGGCTCTGAGAGAAGAAAATACACTTTAAAAGTAGAAAATAACACTGTTATTATCAATAATCATAACAATTATCAATAATT